TATTTCTGTTAATCTTCAGTAATATATCACTTAGCTGATTGTTCTTATTTTGGGTTTGGATTTCAGAACAGATGCTAACAAGACCATACTTAGGTCTCCACTTTTTTTTTTCCTCTCAGTACTGGGAACTGAATCCAGGGCCTTCTCACTGAGTTATATCCTCAGCCCTTTTTTACTTTGTATTTTGAGACAGGGTCTCGTTAAGTTGCCCAGCCTAGACTCAAACTTGCTCTCCTTCTGCCTCAGCCTCCTAGAGAGCTGCGAGCTGGCATACACCACTGTGCATATATTTTTAAGGCCTTACACTCTATAACCTTCGTTATCCAACTCACCCCATCCACTACTCTCTCATTCCTCAGTCTAGCCACACACTCACCTCTTTCACATTTCTCTTACTCTACCTTAAGGTTGTTTTGCTTTCCCATGCCAGGACCACCCTCCCTCATATAGCATTCTCATGGCTCTCCCTCATCTCCTTCAAGTTTCTCTCACATCTCATTTTTTCAGGGAGGCCTTTCCTAACTGCCTTCTAGCAACCCCATTACTGAACACACCTGAACCTCCATGTTTTGCCTTACTTTTCTCCATAGCACTTCCACCTTCTAATATACTTGATAATTTAGCTTTTTAAAATCACTTCTCTTTCCCGTAAGATCAGGTATATAATTTACTTTTTAATTTCATTTATTGTTTGTTTCTCTTACAGTAGAGTAAAACTCCGTGACAGTGGTGGCAAATCTATGGCACGCATACTGCAATGGGCTGTCTATATCATTGAAAACTCTAAAAGATTCACCATCACTGCCTATGAGGATGGTGATTTTGTAAATTTTATTCACAGCTGTATCCCCAAGAACAGGGGTTGGCGTATGGTAGGAGTTCAATAAATATTGCAAACTTCAATGAGCCATTCCCCAAACTAAGGTCAATGTAAAGTGTTTTTTTGCCTACTATTTACCTTTTCTGGGAACATGGGATATTACCAAGAATTCTATTTTTGAAGTCTTTTGAGATTGAAACTAAAAGTAACATTTATATTCAGATCATATATCACACAATTTGTTAAAGTATATATGTACTATATAATATGTGACATATATAATGTATAAACACTTTCTTGGACAGGCATTTAGCCACTGATTCATCAGATTCTATAATAGATTCACCCAAGAGCTGGTGCAAACTTTCGTATATTATGTTAAGGAAGTTAGATATCCTTGGGGGTAATGAGCATTTAGTGAAGGATTGACATGATTAGTCATGTATTTGGTAGCCTATTCTGGTGGTTCTGCAGTAGAGGGGTGTAAGGCAAACAAGACTGGAAAGAGGGAAACCATTTGGGAAACTATTTTCGTAGTCCAGTAAGAGATGATGAGGATATGAACGCACCATCTTGGTAAAGGAGAAGGTGGGAAATGAATGTATTTAGGAAATAAAAATTAACAAATCCTGGTGTTTGCTTGTGGGGGGGTAATATGAGAAGAGGCCTGAATGACTCATGGCACAACGGAGGCAAAAACTATCTGAGGAGGAAGTACATTTAAAGAAAGGTTAGGCATTTTGCCCAAGGACAGCTAGGCACATTAGTGGTTAAGCTAAGACTTGAGCAAGGTTTTTCTGCTGCAAAAGCCCATACTTTTATCTGCCATGCTTCAGTAGGGGGATCCAATTGATTATCTATTAAGAAGAAAGTGATGTCTTGAAAATGACATCTGATCAGAAGTGTTTTTGCTGCTGTTTATAGGGGAGATTATTGAGAAGCAAGATGAAGGAATATTGTATTAAGAATGTTTAGTTCCAGACTAGGATCATAACAATCTGAGACTGAAGAGGGAAAATCTAAAATACCTTGTTAGAGAGGAATTGGCAGGACATGGATACCAATTAGAAGTGAGAAGTAAAAGAGAAAGAATTAAAAAAATAATTGCAAGATTGCAGTCCTAGGTGCTGGAAATTTTTATAAGCAACTCTTCTAAAATGGAGGAATTTGAAATGTGCCTTTCTAGTTACATGACATAGTTTCATGATTAAAATTTTGGGATCATTTGTACAATGAGAAGAATCAAAGTCTTTGGTCTTCAGAGAAGGGCCTGAAACAGAGTGGGCTTTAGGGTTACAGAAAGGATTATAAATGAGTATTTATAGATGCTGATGCTTTCATTACAGTTGTAATAAAAATATAATAACTAAAACCATGTGAGATAATACACATTTCCAGCATGACAGCTAACATACTGGGCTAGGGCTGTTTAATAACCAGAATTTAAAGAAAGGCTAAAAGTTTCCCCTTTTAACAGGAGTTTGCCTTTCTTTTATGAGGGTGGATGGAGTAAGAGAATGTAGGTGTGTAGTTTGGCCCTAATAAAACCTAAAAGGCAATGATGACTGCAAGGGCAGGGATGGTTCTGAGTTTTCTTAGGGATCATAAGGGAAGTGGCTAATGAGAGACAAATCAGACAGGGTCTTTAAGTGCAGTCACTAACTGGCACAACAGGTGAGAGACCTGGCTGGCATGCAGGGAGAATGACTTTGTGTTCTGGCATCTATACCAAGATCCTAACATAGACTAAACATTTGATCTTTGTAGCCTAACTACATAAACACAAGGTTGGGAGTATGGAACTCAAAAGCGGAAAGTACTAAAGTACCTTCAAGTTCTAAATCTAATTTATTATTTTAATTGTATAGATATATAGATATAATTTAATTTCTATCACTATAAGGTACTAAACCTTGTAGGGAAAGTTGTTTTATGTCCTTTTGCAAAGGAGGGTCTGAGTAAAAAATCTAAAAATAATTTCTGTGATTCTCATTGTGTACTCAGTCTTTATATATACAGGTAAAATTATTTTTTTCTCTTTGTAAAAACAAAAATCTTTTTTAATTCTACCAACATTTTCATCTGAATTTATCACAATAATTTCATAAGGGATTTAATTTTGTTTTATAGATTTAGGAAACAGAAATATAGGAAGTAAGTAGCTGATGACCCTTGTAGTTTTATATAGATGCTTTTGTTACAGTTATAATCCTCTTTTTATTGACAGACCACAATGTTTAGAAATTTTGGCTATATTTAGAAACATGAGGAGGGGAATTCCCTGTCCCTTATTTGGTTGAAAATGCTATAAGGTAGATTTTTTACTCTTACCCTTCCTTTTTAGGTGTGAAGTTTTTCAACATGAGTGGCCTCGGGGACAGTTCATCTGATCCTGCTAACCCAGACTCACATAAGAGAAAAGGATCGCCATGTGACACACTGGCATCAAGGTAGGAACACTTTTCTGAATCTGTTTTTGGCAGAGCTTCCTTACTATTTTTCACTGCCACTTTGGAGCTTTTGATTCATCTTCTCCAAGTTTAGTGGCCTTCCTAGAGTCCCACGTACTTCCACATTCTTTTCCTTCTCCTAGGTCTGTGTACATGCTTTTCCAGCTTGCTGCTTCTCCATTTCCTGTAATTAATACTTAGGCATCTGCTTAGTCATTACTTCCTTTAAGGGAACATTTTCTTCCTTCTGTAACACTAAGGTCAAATCTTTCTTACTTGTATAGATGTCTTGCATATAGTCATGGCTCTGACCCATAATTGCAGGTTTTTACTAGTTTATGTGATTGTTTCATGAATAGTCCAGCTTACTATCTAGTAAGGTAACTTCTTTGTTCTTGCTCATCATTGATTAACTAGTTCATAGCACAATGTATGGCTTATATGTTGTGAGGACACAGTACCTATTTGTCACATGATTAAATCTCTTGAATATTTTTAAATGCTATCTTGGGAACTAAGAATACATTATTATATCAGGAATATTAAAAATGATTATTTGTGAAATTATTTGGTGTATTTGGTGTGTTGTGAGGAACGTGACCATCTGAAAGAGGCTAAAAGAAACTAACTGCTGCCAGATAAGGTGGTGCACACCTGTAATCCCAGCACTTGGAGGCTAAGGCAGGAGGGTTACAGGTTTGAAGCCAGCCCAGTCTACATAGTGAGTTGAAGGTCAGCCTTAACTGAATTACATAGCAAGACCCTTTTTTTTAAAAAAAGAAACAAACAAACAAACAAACTTACTGCTAAGGAGACTCTAACTTAAATACAAATAAGTGAAACTATTGTCTTTTGTATTTAATTTTTGAGGAAATGGTTTAATATATAAAAGAATAGTGTCAAATCTCAGTCAGATTAAAAAATCAGTTCCCACCTGTCAAGTGAGGAGTAGAGATTTTACTGCATTTGTGTTTTAGTGTCTAGAACAAGTTTCCTCAAACTCCACACTGTTGACATTTTGAACCAGATAATTCTTTGTTGTAGTGGATTGTCCTGTATATTATAGGATATTGTTTTAGTAAACTTTCTGTCTCCAGGACAAAATACCTTACACTTTCCCTTTAGAGAGAGAGAGGTTAATTTCTGCTCATAGTTGCAGAAATTGCAGTCCATAGTTAAGTGGCTGCTCTGCAGAAATATCACGGCAGAAAGGCATGGCATAGAAAAGCTGCTTAATTTGTGGCATCCAGGAAGCAAAGAGTAGGAGAAAGCCGGAGAGAAAGGCCCTATCTTCTAATAGCCCATTTGGCTATGAATTCATCACTGTATTAGCACACTGATGAGGTACTTGCAGCTTCACAATCCAGTCACCTCTCTAGGAGTTTCTTAATCCAGTCAAGTTGACAATCAAAATTAATCAGTACAGATATTTAGCAGTACCCTTGTTTCTACATACTAAATGCCAACAATAGCTTAGTTATGATAACAAAAAATGCCTTCAGACATTGTCAAATGTATCTCGGGGGCAGGGAAAGCAAAATCAGCCCTAGTTAATAATTCCTGATCATCACTGAGAGGAAAGCTGCAGAGGCTCTGCTGTCATTGGTTACTGCTTTCCAACATGAAAGAAAAGAAGAGGCTTCATGGGAGAATGCCAGAGCTGAGGCTAGAAAAAGAAAGTGACAGTTCCTCTTAATCAGCTCAGAAAATGGGCGTAGAGACAATAATCTAAGGACCTACAAGTAAGTGTCTAGATACTAGGAAGAAGGGTTATACTAAGATACATCACATATGTGTGTTATCTGAGTTAACACTTGTGTATGTATAAAGTCAATTGTTCTTAAAGAAAAGCATAAGAACAAATAAACTGTTATCTTTTACATTTAATTTTTTATTTAAGGACATTTTAAAAATATCAGTTATGAATCAATTCTATATCAATAGAAGACTAAGAAACCATATATATTCACCATTTATAATTAACACTTTTATGTTGTTAGTATCTTGTCCATGCTTTTCATATTTGCATAATCTTGGTTTGAAGTTTACATTGTCTGCAAACAGAATAGCTACACCTGCTTTTTTCTGGATTTGCATAACCTTATTTAAATAAAATACCTACTTCTATTTCTTTTTACTAGTGCCTATGATCTAATTTTATACACACACCTATCTGTGAGCAGTATAGAATGTTTATTAAATTAACATAAATTGTATGCTATTTTTTCTATAATTTTTCAACATGGATTTTTTTTTTTTTTTTTTGGCTGTTTGGCTTTTTCAGACAGTCTCCCTGTGCAGTTCAGGCTGGCCTTGAACTCACTTTGTAGCCCAGGCTGGCTTCAAACTCACAGTAATCCTCTTGTGTCAGTTTCCAGAGTGCTGAGATTATAGGCATGCACCATAATACCCAGCCCAACATGAATCTTGCGATTTGAATGTACATATATTTATTCAGTCCTAGCAGCTCATCTTTTACTTATACTAGTACTTATTTACAGTACATAATGATTTTATCCGTTGTAGGGAGTTGGTACATGTACATAACCTAGTAGCTCTTGATTAGTATTGCATTATATGAATATGCCACGTTTCAAACAATCCATTTCCCTATAAGTAGACATTCCCAAGAGATAAACTGCTAGAAATTTTTGCTCTCATAGTCAGCACTGCAGCAAACATCTCCATACATACTGTACCTGCTGTTTTACACTTAAGAGTTTCTTTAGGGTCTGTGTACATTTTTATGTTAACTAGGTAATTACCACACTGGTCTTCAAATGACAAGTCTTGAAGTTTCTCTTTTCCCACATTCTTATTAACACTATTTTTTTCTCATTTTAACATTTTGCCAAGTTAGGGATGCGGTTATAGTTTTAAGCACATTTCCCTGGTAGTTAGGTAATTTGATTCTCTTTGTTTTGTACTACCCATTCCTCTGTGAATTTCTTGGTTGTATTTTTGTTACCAAATTTTTTCTGGTTGTTTCACCTTTTTTTTTTCTCTCTCTTTTGGAAGAGTTATTTTAAGGTCTTTTGTTTCAATTACTAACCTCTTTTTTAATATTACATGTAAAAAGGTCTTCTCCCAACCTTTTAACTGTGACATTTGTGGGCATAAAGAACCTTATGTATGCTGAGCCTGGTGGCACACTCTTGTGATCCCAGCATTCTGGAGGCTGAGGCAGGAGGACGGCCACAAGTATGAGGCCAGCCTGAGCTACATAGGAAGCTCAAGGCCAGCCTGAACTATATAGTAGGACTCTCTGTCAAAAAAATTAAAAACCTTAAGTCTTCATGTGTCAAACTTTTGGGGGGTCTTAATTAAGAATTTTCCTTTATTTTAAAGTCTTAAATGTATTTTTATATATATTCTTCTACTATACTTGGAGGATTTTAATTAATTGAATTTATTTTTCTGTATGGATAACACAGGGATACAAATTCCAGTCAGTAGTTCTGATACTGTTCTTCTCTACTGTTGTATTGTTACATTTATCATAAATAGGAATCTGATTCTGAGCTTTCTTTTGAAAATTACTTTTATATGTATCTGATAGGTCAAATCCCTCTTCCTTGTTATTTTTCAAAATTACTTTCCCCATTCTTGGTTCTTTACCCTTCCATAAAGATTTGAGAATAAGTCCCCCCACCCTAGTACTGGAGATGCAAAGCAGAACTCCCACACTGAGCTGTATCCCAGCCTCACCCTCTTCTTTAAATTTTTGAGACATAGTCTCACTAAATTGCCCATGTTGGATTCCAACTTGCCTTCCTTCTGCCTCCCCCTCCCAGAGAAATGGGATTATAGGTGCTTAGAATCCCATACCTGGCTTAGAATCCAAAACTGTTTTACTTGGATTTTGATTAGACTTTTGTTTACTTTTATAGATTAAATTCATAAAATTGACATTTTAATGTTCTAGGTTCTAGAAAATTCTTATTTATGAATATAAAACTTTTAATTTATTCAGGTCTTTCTGTTCTTCAGTATTTTGCACCTTGTCCAGCCCATCTTTGATTAGATATACTCCTATGTACCATAGAATTGTTATCACATTTACCAATGGTATCATTTTGTCTGTGGGCTTTTCTAATTGGTAGTTGTTTATGTATACAAATGCTAATGATTTCTGGATATTGGTCTCACATCAGTCCATTGCACTGAACTTTCTTATTTGTTTTAATGATTTACCTGTTGATTCCCTTTGATTCATGTGTATGCAGAACATCATTACACAATTGGTATAATCTTTCTGTGTTTTACATATCTTTGAGATAATTATCTTCTTGTTTGCTTTAAAAATATTTTGAAAGCAATGACTCTATTTCAGGTTTGTATTTATGGGCTTCAGTTTGATTCCTCCCCGCTTTGTGGTACCTAGGATTTAACCCAGGAACTTTGTACTAAACTACATACCCAGTTTTTTCTCCTTTTTTTTTGGTGGTTTCCAAGTTGCCTAGGCTGAGCTGTAACTTGAGATCCTTCTGCCTCAGCCTCACAGAGTGCTGAGAGTAGAGAATGCGTCACCATGTCCAGCTATCTGGGCTTCAGTTTTAGTAAAGTGGCATCTTTGATATAGAGAACAAAACTTTTACTGTTTTGAAACTGAGTGAGTTTGTACATTAATAGCAACCTTACAGTGTTTCTTCTGGTTTTATTATCGCTCTCCTAGGCAGAATGTGAACTCATTATACAACACGTCTATTAGCCAACGCTGTGTAGAGAGACCTAAACTGGAGAGTTTTTCAGTTACTGTTTGATGGAGTGAAATATCTTGTATCTCTCTCCAGTTACCATTTTTCCATTCCCATATTGTTCTCAGAGAATGAGAATTAAAATTCCAATTATAAAATGGTGGTTGGAAATGCTTTATATTTATGTAACATTTCCAGTTCAACTCAAGGAGTACTTTTTCAGTGCCAGCTCTTCAGCCAGCACCATCTGTGTGGTGTTTTAAGGATATAGGTGAAGTGTGAGACTTTCCATTGTCTTGAAAATAAGTAAGTGTAATTAAAGTTATAATAGATAACATTTATAAAGCAAATAGTATATGCAAGTACTCTGCAAATCATTCTACATATGCTCATAAAACTCCAAGAGGTAATTAATGTCATTATCTCAGTTTTATAGATGAAGGGATTGAAGCATAGAGAGGTTAAGTTGCTCCTGACTTATCTGGGTCAGTGGCTGGTCAGTGATAACAAATGTGAGCCCGTGCTTTTAGACAGCATTCCACACTCTACAGTTGTGGTATGCAAGATCCCTTATGACATATCTTATTACTTTTCTAGTTGCTGAGACAATCAATATACACAACACCCAAAGTTAAAAGAGGAAAGGTTTATTTAGTCCACAGTTTGTAGAGGTTTCAATTCATAGCTGGCTGACTCCAAGGGTAGCTGGCAGAGGGCCTTTGAGGAGGAGGCAGCCAGAAGGCAGTAAGCAGCAAGTGATAAGCAACTAAGAGCAACTTCTTTTTGTCCCTTCTATCTTATCCAGGCTACCTGCCCTTAAGGTGGGGAACACTCACACCCAGAATGGGGCACCCTTAATCTTACCCAGAACTATGCCAAACCAGTCAGTGGACTAATTTAGTAATCATACATCCTTAATCCTAGCATCACACACCCTAGATCCAGCCATCTCTGAAAAAACCCTGGCTGTGACCACATGAGGCCTTAAGGGGGAACACATAGACACAAGTCATAACATAGTGATTCAGACTTCATCTCTTACCCTTGTTTCTTCCATAGGTTAGCCATATTAATGTACTTAATATGGTCTTTAACTTCATGGTTTCATTCTCACTTTATATCTTTGGAAAAGCTGGTTTTTTTCTTTGAGAACACCAATGTCCCTGCCATTAAGTTTACACGTCTCATTACATAACTATGAATGTTGTTACTATGTCCTTAGCTATTCACATACCATTATAAGTATGCATATCACATACCATTTATAAGTATTACAAGTAATCTGGAGATAAAGTATAGGGAAGGATTTCCTCAGGTAATATACAAATGATATGCCACTTTAAATAACGATTTTGAGCATTCTTAGCTGTGGTGTCCATAGTGAGGGATGACTGTATTCCCATGAGAAGATGGCTCAGTAGACTGTTAACTAGCATATTTGCTGTATAAATGGTAATAAAGGGTTTAATAAGTGGAGATGTGTAACTAGTCTAAAGAAATAAAGGAAGCTTTTTAAGGTAGACTTTTTTGCCATCTCCACCTCTCCTTTAGTTTTTTGTGTTTCTTTGTTTTTTTTGTTTTGTTTTTTGGTACTGGGAATCAAACTCAGGATCTTGTGCTTGCCAGGCAGGCAAGCTATATCCCCAGCCCTCTCCTTTAGTTTTGACTTTTTGAATATATCTGCTATCATCTCCTCTACATGCTTGTTAGTTACTTCATTTCATGGTGATTTTTTGCCAATTCTCAATCGCAAGTCGTTTTATAAACACTTCACCATTTCACTACATGTAACTTTCAGATCCCTCTGTCTCCTTTTTACAGTGAGACACTTGTTTATTCTACAGTGACTTCAAGCATTTCAGCACCACACAGAACTTATTGGCAAAAACATATTTAGGAGTTCCACCAAGTGAATCAATATTCTTTTGAAATTTAGACCCATAGATTCAGGCAGAATCTACTAAATATATTTTGTATCATTAGGTTCTCTAAGGTAAAATCCATATCCTCAAACACTATCAGGTGTGGAGCTAAAACATGGTGAAAATGTACAGGTTTCATTTAATTTATACCTTGCTTTCAATGCCTTCGTTCATATTCTTGCTCTGAAAGTTGTAAGATACAATCTTACTAACCAAAATGGTAATAATTCTTCAATAATGAAAAATCTTTAAAGACAGAGTACATGATTATTATAGTGTTAAAATTTGATTTTGTTTGGGGATAGTTATCATTTTGAAGTGTTTTTTATTATGTAGGTAAATAGAGTAGTTGACGTGGTTCCTTTCAACTCATTGAGTTGTTATGTAAATGCTATTGCTTTTAAAGTCTTTTCAAAATTAGTCCTAAGAAAAGTAAATGGTATCTTAATTATGCCAATTATGAGCTTTCAGCAACTGATATTTTCCTCTTCTCACCTCTTTTTTCTACTGCCTTTGTGTGTAGAATGTTTTTAAGTGCTGCTTATAAAACAAAGAGCTAGTTGTGATCCGTCTTTCAAAGTAATCACTTTAGTTTTTGTAAGTGCTATACAAAGCACATTTCCTGATGACTTGCCTAATAAATGAGGGGTAAAGACGAGGCAGGAAAAAGAACAATAATATTTCAGTACATTCAGTATGATTTTTTTTAAAGTGCTAGCTGTTGTTCTTTATAACTTTAAGATAAGTTTTTTATATTGTTTACTTTGTTGATAAGAGCTTTAGTTTTTCTTTTTTTGAACAAAGCTGTATACTAAACACATTTTTCTATATACTTTTGCCTCACATTCCTTTTTTGGGGGCTACTAAGAATCGAACTCAGGACCTCACATTTGCCAGGCAAGCACTGTGCTACTGAACTAAATCCCTGGCCTGCTCTCATTACCTTTTTAAAGTATTATTTTTGAATAGGTATTTTTATGAGGACTAACTAATGATCTAATCAGAATAAGAATCAAGAATTTATCAGATTTCTAGTCATAACTCATTTGAACTGTAGCATAGCCTACCCTGTTTAATTTGTAACAAAGTTATTTGAAAATAGATAAATGTTTTTCTATTTCAAGGAGTTACTAAAATGTAAAGTAGTTCCAAGTACAACTGGTAGGTTTACTATCTGGTTCCTTTTAATATCTAGTAATCATTTGCTATTTGAATATATTTAAGGTATATACATCACTGGCGAAACATATCTCTTACAGCACTTGTTCACTTGATGCATTTCCACCAGAACTGTTTTCTGCACTTTGGTATTTTGTAGTGTCTGTTCTTTAGATGTGAATTTAATTGGTTTTTAAGTCTGCTAAACATGTAAGCATTAAATACTTGAGCAGAGAAGGAAATAAGGTGATATAATGGACACTAAGTGGATTTTCTTTGTGTAACAGCACTGAAAAAAGGCGCAGGGAACAAGAAAATAAATACTTAGAAGAGCTAGCTGAGTTACTGTCTGCCAACATCAGTGACATTGACAGCCTGAGTGTAAAACCAGACAAATGCAAGATTTTGAAGAAAACAGTCGATCAGATACAGCTAATGAAGAGAATGGAACAAGGTAAAAAATGGCTGTGTTCTTGTTATTAAGATACTTACGTGTGACTCTACTCTTATTATGAAGGAATTGCATTAACTCCTTATAATTTTATTGAAGAAATATTTTTGTTTAGATGGTGTTTATTTTATTGAGGCTGACAACCTTATTATAACAAAGTGGTTTACTAAACTAACTTGAAAACTTGTTGCCTGGGGAGGTTATGGAACTGTGTCATAGGGGATTTAGACAGGGACAGAAATAGTAAGATAGGACCTGAATCCCAAGATAAAGCTGAAGAACAGTAAGAATAGTTCCCATGAAGGGAAATTATTTCTCCCTGCTGGAGGAAACTTGCCTGTAACTGGAGTCTGGGTGGGGGAAACAGTTTCCTCTGAAAAAAACCTGGTATATTTTTAAGATTTATATTTATACTACCCATACTTACTGGGAACCCCACACCCCCAAACTCAAAGGGAAAGCACTTTGAAGAACACTCTTACCACCCACCCCATGGAAGTGCCATAGAAAAATGCTTCTGAAGGAAATTTTACACTAAAACCGTACAAAACAGGAGGAAATAATATATGATGAGTGATAGTATATCAGATAACCAACAGGAGGAACAGACTCAAAAGAACTTTATGAAAAGACTTTAGGCAAATACACTTAAAATGGTTAAAGTTTTATAATTTGAAGATTTTAGAATCTGGAAAACATAGCCTAGTGACTACTTAATTAGCAGGTAGGAGAAATCAAACTGGAGGCCAGCAAACATCAGGAACCTGCCTGATACACCTGAAGCTAAAGATGGCGGGATTTCTCTGAGGAAACTGAGAGCTGCCCCAAGGAGAAGGCATGTGGGATGACCCTCAAAGGAAAACGTGGGCTTCTTACCCTGCTCCCACTACTCATACTACTGCCAGTCAGCATTTTAGTGCCTCTCTTTTAATATCAACAAAACCCTGGATATTTCTGGAAATCCTATCGTATAAAAGAGAACAAACCAAGCAAACAGAAAAGGAGACAGAGAAAGCAGAGGCAATGCAGGGAACAAAAGAAAACTTTAACATCAAAGCGTCCATCAGAGACATAAGGAAGATATTTTTTCCATGAAAATAATAACTTTTGAAACAGGGTATCTGAGAAAATCTTTACTTCTTTTCCTTATTTCTCTTTCCTCCTCATCCTCTCTTCCCTAATGCTCAGTCTCAGGTATTTGCACTCACTTTCCTCTGTTTGCAGTGCTCTTCCCTAGATATCCATACACCAGGCAAAGTCCCTTGTCCTTTTTACGTCTTTCTGAAAATGTCTTCTCCATAAAATTGTTCCTAATTACCCTGTTTAAAGTCTTTTTTAAAAGGGAAACAAATCCCTCTATACCTTTCTTGATTCATTTTCCCCACAGTACTTTTTACATCTGACATGTAAAATTATTTGAAATAAATTTCTCAGGGTATAATTGGACATGCCTATAACCTTAGTTATTTAGAAAGCTGAGGCAGGAAGATCACCAATTTTAGGCCAGCCTAGGCAACTTAGCAAGACCCTGTCTGAAAAATAAAGAGCTGAGGATGGTAGCTAGTGTTCCAGGAATTTTTAAAATCAGGAGAGTTTTGTGATAAACTACAGACAAAACATTAGAAAAGAAATGTAGATGATAGCACACATTGGCTCATTAAGTGTGGATTGCTGTAAAAGCTGTTTGTGTATATTGAGAGAATGACAAGAGGGGAAATGTGTGTGTAGCAGATGATACAAGTAAGTTAAATACTTACTCTCATGATAGCATGACAATAGATATGTGTACCAAGGGCAAAAACATGAGCAGACCTCAGCAAATAATTATGTTACTAAGAAGTATGAGGTTAATCAGAGTGTCAGGCCAATATAGCAAGACACCCGAAATGCAATGGCGTCAACAAGACAGTCTAAGTAGGTGGCAGGGATTCAGACTCTTTCCATACTGTGTGCCCCGCCATCCAGAGGATATTGCCATTATCCATGCTGGTCAACAAGGCTCATCTGTCCAAGTCCTAGCCGACAAGAGGGGACAGAAAAAAACGGGAAGCTGTGTCTCCTTCCTTTTACAGACAAGACTTAGAAATTACACATTGCCTCTCTTCACATACCTTAGGCCAGAAACTAATCACGTAACTATTCTTGTTTTAAGTTTTCTCTAAAATTTTATGAATTTTGATTTTTACATATACTAATGTAATCTACATGAAACTGATGGGTTTCATTTTAGAACTTGTTTAAAAAACAAGAACCTAGCTGTTCATAGTGGCAGGAGGATCACAAGTTTGATCTAGCCTAGGCAAATTAGCAACTTGACAAGATCCTGTCTCAAAATAAAAATAACAAAAGGGTGGGTTATGGGATTCCCATTCAGTACTCACGAGACTGAGGCAGGACGATCACAAGTCTAAGGCTAGCCTGGGACACATAGTAAGTTCAAGGCCAATCTGCACTACACAGTGAAAGTGTCTCAAAGCGGATGTAACTAGTGCAGTGGCCCTAGGTTCAATCCCCAGCACCAGCACCAAAAACCAAAAACACAAAAACCATGAATCTGTGTCTTTATAAAATTCCATTTACAGGGCCTGGGGATTTAGCTCAGCAGCAAAGCACCTGCCTGGCAAGCACAAGGTCGTGAGTTCGATTCCTGGTACCAGAAGAAAAACAAAACAAAACAAAAATTCCACTTACAGAAATGAGCTCTTTTTTGATACGTGATTTTTAAAGTTTCTTTATTACAGAGAAATCAACAACTGATGATGATGTACAGAAGTCAGACATCTCATCAAGTAGTCAAGGAGTGATAGAAAAAGAATCCTTGGGACCTCTTCTTTTGGAGGTAAGTGTCCTCATTGGATCAGAAATTAAAATGTTCTTGCCAATTTGGCTTTTTAAAATACTCTTTATGTCTTATATCCAGTTAGTAAATTATAAAACAAAGTGAAGTTTTCAGAGCTTTCTATAATTATTGTGAAAACTACTTGTTACAGTTTTAGAATTAAATGTGAAAAATGCACATGAGATATTTTCTTAAAGACTTTCTAAGTCATCAGATAGAAAACTAAAGCATACTATAAGGCGTTTTGTTTTGGGAATCGTTATAATTTGCTGGAAGAATAAAACATTAGAATTATTTAGGTAGCTAGTGCTGTCTATATATACTGTACAATTTCATGAGTAAAGTATGCCTCCCTATATAGGTTAGATATTGTCTCAGAATGTTTTCTGACTAAAAATTTTTAAATTGCTCATATATAAACATTCTAAGGGAATTGCTGTCAAACTTTGAAAAGGAAAGAACTTTTAAACTTGAATTATTTTGTAATCACTGTATAATTTTCACCCCTGCCTTCCTACCTGATTCTCAACACAGATATTTTGTTTCCAAGCAGGCTCATCACTTTAAATGCTTTCTCTCATATACATGTTTAAGAACGCCTATCTATATAAATACAAATATATACTCTTTCTGCTTAGAGGAAGGTGTTAGAGGAAATTTCTTCACATCTAAAAAAAGAGTAGGCCGGGCGTGGTAGTGCACACCTGTAATCCCAGCACTTGGGAGGCCGAGGCAGGAGTATTATTGCGAGTTCGAGGCCAGCCTAGACTACAAAGTGAGCTCAAGGCCAACCTGAACTGCATAGCGAGATGCTGTCTCAAAAAGACAAAAAAATTAAAAAATAAAGGAGTAGTACCACAGCATAAGCATTTCTGTTATCTCTAAACTCAATTTTACATAATTTACATAATGTAAATAAATACGAAATAAATTCTCTGCTCTTGTCCTTTAGGGCCCACCTTTCTGGTCATCCTCTTAGCGAACTTGTCCAGGTCTCTTTATTTTCTAAATCCTTTATATGTTGTGTCCTATTTCCATCACTTCAGCTTTTGTATTAACAGTGGTGATTTAGATCCTAGTTTCTCTGCATAGTCTTCATACTTCCCTCTACCCACGCCATAGCTAATGTAAGAAAATTTTGAAAATTCAATTCAAAATTCAGAACTTTCTCTTTTCAGTTCATTAAATATTTTTAACATAGTGTTATATATAAAGTCATTTAAACGGTGAAGAAGTATTAGATAGAGAAGTCCTTGAGATTCCCACGGTTCCTGTAGGAAAATAGTGATCATTTGGATGTTGGTCTCTCTGCATAGACATCAGAAACCACACGGATGCACATGGAGAGCACATGGAGCATCCAGACTGAATACCGTACACCTGGAAACAGACTAGTACTGCTGCTACTTTCATTTACATACACTGTACATTTGTTACTACTTCATCAGAAAAGTCCAAACACTTGCAAGTGAACAACAATGACAGGAAAACAGCCACTCAAAAGAAAATAGAAGACAAACTAAGGATATTTCTCAGCTGTTGACAGTTATTCCCCTAAAAACCCCTTTGAATCAAAGGAAAACACATTACACATGAATTAAATTTCATTAGTTATTTTCCAACATAAAAAGGATATCAAATTATAAATTCTAAAAACAGAATACAAATTTATTTAAGTTCTTGACCTCAAGGAGCTAAGCAGTTTATTTTTGAGCTATGAATGTATAAAATGGAGTCCTAAAAATAGATTTGACAATCTTGTGTCTTTTCTGCACCTTCTTGTCCCCCAGCCTTGTCCCCACTCACTTAAACTTTGTAGGGTCTAATCCCGAGCAGCTAGGTTGAAGGTATTAGAGGAAATTTCCTCACATCTAAAAAAAGGAGTGGTACCGTATGCTCAGACATGCTAGCTAAATGGATGCACACTGAGACCATACTCTTAAGTGAAATAAATCAGACGCACATGTAAATACTGCATTGTTTCTCTGGTGTGAGAAACCGAAAGTGTAAATAAGTATAAATAAAAAAGGAGTAGTATTAGAATTTATTTATTCAATTTATTTAATGAATACTTATTGTGTATCAGTTACTCAATAATCTCCATGGAATTATTATGAAAATTAAATTATATCATTTGTTAATAGCTTTTTTTAAGCAACACATTTGTTCACTATTATCTGCTATTTAAATTCAAAGACTTACCTTATTTGATCCTAACCTCTCTTATTTCCCACTCCCCCAAAGAAAAATTCAGTTTTAATTAATGAAGTCTCGCTAATTTGCATGTACATTCAAGCTTTTTCACCTTGCCTTATACCATTCTTTATATTTCTGTGTGGCTTTTGACTGTTCTTGACTACTCCCACCTCTTTTAAACTTCCTGTGGCCTCTTGAATAGTGCTATACTTTCTTTTTCTTAAGTTCCTCTTAGATGTTAGTATCCCCCAGGATTTTCACCTGGGCTCTTTTCCTTTTTTAATTCTGTGCATGTTTTCTGGGAAGGGAGGTTTTTTGCTTTGTTTCTGTTTTGTTTTTTTTGAGACAGGGTCTCACTCTGTAGTTCAGGCTGTTCTTAAACTCACTGCGTCCCCCAGGCTGGCTTCAAACTCATAGTGATCTTCCTGCCTCAGCCTCCCAAGTGCTGGGATTACAGGTGTGCAGCACCATGCCCAGCTAGAATTTCATTTTGAATTTCTGCTCTTCAAGGGAAGAATTCTCCCAATGGCCGATTAAGAATCTTGTAATACTTTATTTAATGGGGAAACGTAATTCCATGTAGAAATCATAGAGTATTCTTTAAAAGGGGAAAAGAAGATTGTAGTTTATAAAGAATAAACAGGAACCCCTAATGAAAGACCAAGATCCATCTATAGCCCAGATCTCTCTTCTGACTTTCTCATTTATTATATTATGCTATTTGCACATCTCCATTTGACTGTCGTACAGTCACTTCAAATGTAACATTCCTAAAACTAAATTTGTAATCCTTCTTTACTTCCTTCTAGTTGTAAAGGGAGATGAGGGGTAAAGGAAGAAGTGGAAAAGAAGGATTTCACCACCTTGTCTCCTTTCTCAGGGAAAGGCACTGCTCTACCAGAGCTTTAAAGTCACTAATTGAAGAAGTCGCTCCAGATGCTCAGTTGCCACAGCTGTAGAGGCCACCACGTGCTGTTTGTTCTGTCTCTGTCAAGTCTTCTGTTACTTCCATCGCCACTGCCTCATTTCTGGCTCTCACATGAACTGGAGTGTCACTGTAGCATTGCTGCCCAATCTCCTTCCTCCATTCTGCACATCGTGTCACCTCGAGAGGATCTTTTGAAAGGATCGTGTCACTCACCTGTTTAAACACATTGCTTTCAGGATAACCCCCATTGCCTTCAACTACATTTTTTTTTTTCATTTCTTTCTGTCTGTGTCTTATTTTTTTGTTTGTTTGTTTGCTTTTCCCTGAAACATAAAACAAAACAACCTTTCTACTGTTAAACATAACACAAATATGATAAGTACATACTTTTTTTTTAAATCCCTGAGCTTATTTCTCTGTCTTACTTGTCCTTTCTTTCCCTCACCCACCTTCTGTCTGCTTTATGTTTTTCAAGCCTCTGGTCAGGTATAGGAAACCTCACCCTAAGGATATATTTATCCCTTCCCAACTGTGTGTGTCTCTCTGTCCTTAACCTTTGTGAATACCTCTATTGTACTGTGTTGTAACTGTACAACTTGTCTTTGTCTCCCTCAGAGACTATAAAAATATAGAGAATTACGTGTTTGAATCCCAGAACTTTGTCCAGGGACTGACTCCTGGGCGGGAATCTCATTTAAATCCAGGGCCTTGAGAGAAGGCTTGGCTGTGTGAGCCCTCTGTGAGATGCAAGGTGGCCTCCTGAGAAGCAAGAGGAGCTCTCACATTGAGAACTCTGTACTAAGGGACCGTTACTTGTTTCCATCTGTGGGCAGTGTGCATACACCAGCCCTCAGGATGTGAAAAAAGAGCAGAATTTCTCCCCAGGAACACATGGGGAAGTTCATCACATGCACAACTTAGGAGGGAAATTTGTAGACAGGAACAAGTAAAAGCAGATTATATTATCAGACATACCTTTAGAAATAGAGATGTTTGTATATTCAGCGGAATAGTCTCAACCAATATTTCCTGAAATGTTACTAATATCTGGGATTTTGATAGATTACTGTTTTCTCATTTTCATATTTTATAATTTGTGTAAGTTGGAGCTGGGGTTATAACTCAGTGGCATAGTCCCTCCTAGCAAGTATGAGGCCCTGAGTTTGATTCCTGGTACCCACAAAAAATAAAATTTGTATAAGTTTATATTTCATTTATAATAACAGCAAAAAATTGAGGAAGTTAAATTTTAGTTTTACTGATGCTGTTGTTATCGAAGAATTTTGCTGTTGTTTTTGAGACAGGGCCTTGCTGTGTAACCCTTTAGAAGAATATTTAGAAGGTCTGTCTACTCTTCTTTAAAAATGTGAACCAGGTGCCCTGACACAAATCTGTAATCCTAGCATTCTGGGAGGCTGGTGCAGGAGGATCACAAATTCAAGCCCAGCCTGGGCAATTTAGCAAGACTCTGGCTAAAAAATAAAAAATAAAAAGTAAAGGCTGAGAACGTAGCTTAATGCAGTGTAGATTATGTGACAAATAGTCATGGCAACCACATGGAATAAAAAGAGCTTTGTTTCTTTTCTTTTTACTTTTTCTTGCTAAAGAAAAAAAGGACAATATTTTTAATGAAAACAAGGGGTGGTTAGTGCTTATTTTTAAAAATCTTAGCTAAATTGTTTGTGGAGTGATTTGGAGATATAATTTATTATTTGGCTTCGGCAGTACTCTGATGAACTGATGAACACTTAGGCCGATTCTGTGTCGTGGCTGTTGTGAATAAGGCTTCACTGCAGAGTGCTGATACTTCTTCCAGACACTACGTAATTTCATTTCTTCTTTCTTACCTGTACTTTTTAGGTTTTGTCTTTTTGACAATAGCCATTTCAACAGGTGTGAGGTGATATTTCTTTGTGGTTTTAATCTGAATTTCAATCTTAAGCATCCATCAATCAGCGAATGGGTAAAAACGATGTGGTAAACCAGGCATGGTAGCACCCATCTGTAACCTGAGCACTCAGGAGGCTGAGGCAGGAGAATCACTATGTATGTGAGGCCATTTTAGTTAGGGCTGTGGGTGTAGTTCAGTGGTACAGCACATGCTTAAAAAGAAAGTGGCAGAGCACTGTGAAAAAGTACATAGAGGAAAAATAAGTTCAGGAAATGTTTCAAAATTTAATAAATGTTTTGCTTTTTAAGATTTGTTTTTATTACTTATATACATTTTGGGGTATATACATAGTGCCTGAAACATCAGTGTACAGTCCATTGGAGATTCCTGGCATTGTCACAGAGTTTTCTCTTCAGCAGGTTTTCCCTTTTAACTTGATATATATATTTCTCATCTCTTTTTTAATAAAGGTATATATGTTTACTTTTTTAAAGTTTACTTTTTTAACCTCTCAATCTTTTTTTTTTTTTTTTTTTGGCTTTGCAGGCTTTGGATGGATTTTTCTTTGTTGTGAACTGTGAAGGGAGAATTGTATTTGTGTCAGAAAATGTGACCAGCTACTTGGGTTACAATCAGGAGGAACTGATGAATACCAGCGTCTACAGCATACTGCACGTGGGGGATCATGCAGAATTTGTCAAGAATCTGCTACCAAAATCACTAGGTAGAAAGAAATTCGTCTCTTAAAAGAATACTCTCTGTACCTTCTTCTTTTATTCTCTATGTGATATATGTGATGATTACATTTGTAGTACAAAATGACATATATTTAAAATATTTTGATTATAGATTCAGTTTCAGATATATCAAACAGCTGGTAAGAAGCATTCATAATCATCCTCTGTATTGTGACATGATTGGGTGACACCAGTGGGAGACAGGTACTTGTCTTACCACAGAAACTTCTGCTTAAACTTTGTTTTCCATTTTTATTATGTCCAGGAAAGAGACATAGATCCTCCCTACTACCTTGCTGGAAAGAAAAGAGAAAGGAGGAGAAAAGGAGGGAGTATGTTGCTCTATTATGCTCTTATTAATACTTTTGGAGTTCCAAAAATAATTAGGAGCCCAGCTAGAAGGATGGATGGGATCAGTATCCGGCTGTTACTCCATATTCATTAAGCCATATGCCTTGGAGCAGTATTGAGGCCTTTAGAGTTAGGGGGACTTTTATTAAATCTCTAAAAACATGCATGGACTAACAGCAGCCCTTTGCTTACTTCTAGAATTTTCAGACTCCTAGTCCTGCTTTTTAGCACGCTAGTTCCAGTTAGTCCTAGTGATTGGGTCCCTATGTCTCCATTTGAGTAGGTATTTTTTTAGTAGTCAGCATGTATTTTGTTGGCAAATAAGAAATTTTTCGTTATTTAATTTCAGGCTCCATTCCATTTCAGTATTTTTTGTACCTATTTTTTTCCCTTCTTTGTTCAGTGAGTTCTGAAATAAGACCAATTTATCACAGAGGTAAATGGATCACACATCAGTTTTTCACACAAATACTGTAGATAAAGTATTTGAGTAGTAGTTAGGAGGGTTCTAGGCATCACTTAGTATAGGAACTAAGACCAAGTTTTCAGGGAAGTTAGACTTCTGTTTTGTTTGAGACAAGATTTTGGCAGGGCATGGTGGCACACGCCTGTAATCCCAGCACTTGGGAAGCTGAGGCAGGAGGATCCTTTCGAGTTCAAAACCAGCCTGGGCTACAAAGTGAGCTCAAGGCCAGTCTGAACTGCATAGCAAGACCCTGTCTCAAAAAGACAAAAAAAAAAAGATTTTGCTGTGTAGTTAGGGCAACCTTGAACTTGTTAGGTAGTCCAGGCTGCCCTCAAATTCTCAATCCTGCCTCAGCCTCAGTGCTGGGGTTACGATTACATACCACCACACCCAGGGGAATCAAACAATGTAAGTGATGCCCCTGTAGACACTGCTTAGATTTTTTTCTCTGGCTCTGGGCTTAGAGTTTAAGGACTACTAACATGTAAGTTTAATGGAGCTTGCATTTTTAAAAAACTGCTTTTCTCATCTTAGGTAACAAAGTATGTGTTTGTGTTACCTTACACATTGTGCCTGGATGGGAGGAGAACAGAGTTACAGAAAACAATACTGAATGACTCATAATAGCTAATTCTTGAAAACAGCCTGTGTGTCCATCAATAGATGACTGGATTTTTTAAAAATGTGTATATAGGCAGTAGAATACTACTCAGCCATAGCAAATGATAAATCTGAACATCAATAGGAAAATGGATGCACCTGGAGCCCATACTTTTAAGTGAAATAAATCACACAGGAGCGTAAATACCATATGGTTTCTCATATGATAATTTAAAGAGCAAAATCAGAGATAGATCCTTTGTCAGTGGGAAGGAGATCTAGAGATGGAGGAAGAAGGGAGAAGTAGAGGAGGGCAAGGGGGAGTAAAAGGAATTAAGCTGTGTTACATACATATACCAACTCCCGCACAATGAATGTCATTATTATGTACAGCAAACATGTACTAACAATAAACATTAAAAAAGAAAAAGAGAACAAGGCCAAACAGTCTCCTGCCCCCTGAATAAGAGGCTTATTATTTGTGGGAAGACTGCAGAATTGCCCCTTCTTAGCATGATTACTGCAGCTCTCTGATTAGGATGTCCCTGGTCACTGTCTGGAGGTGAATGTGGAGCCAGCGTCACTTAATAGCTGCTGTATTGGCAATACTGCTCTACCCGCTGACAGGACGCAGTTCCCAGCTAGTCTGGCAGTTCATCGCTGCCTTGTCTGAGCAGCCTCCTCCACCATAGGGAGGGATGTGAGACTTCTGCTGCAAAGGCATCTTGCTCTCCTTCCCCCAAAGAATGAAAGATGGAAACATAACAAATAATATAATACTGTACCGTGCCTTTGCTGTCATACAATCAGCTAAACAAACAAAGATGAGGACACGCTCAGTAGTAGTAGAGCAGCAGGTCACCTAGTTTTACAACAGTGGTTGATCACCCCTTAGAAACCAACAAGATGGTCCCATCCAAAGGATAAAACCCAACAGCACTAACTGAGTTTTCCAGTACTACTCTCAAGCTACTGCTAAGTATTGAGGAGAAAAACATACGATAGTGCCTACATTTAAACCTCCACTACCAGAGCAATCAAATTACTAGCAAATCGGCGAAAGAAAGTGGAATTGTATGTATATTTAGCCTCCAGAAAAAAGTCAAGTTTCAGAAACTATCAAAAAAAATTTGAAGATTAAGATCCTATTTATATATACATTTACACTATATGCACATATCACATGATATAAAAGAGTGTATTCTTATTTTTCATTTACTATCAAGAATTTTTGAAGAAAAAAGAAGCCAAACTGTTCAAAAATTGCTTAATGATTTAGAAGATTTCAGGATACAAAATCTTAACGTTTTTTAGGAGTGATATTTTATGTATACAAAATAAAATCTCAACACTGAGAAATGAGTATAGTGACCTTGTCCAAATAACAAATGTGCACAGATGTTTTTATAATGTTATATTGTGAAAGATTAAGATGTTAACAAGTATTTGTGAAATTGTAGTAAATTGGATTTGAAAAAATTAAAAATAAGTTCTGTTTAATAGCAGCTGTGTCTCAAGTGATGCCAACACCACAGCAATTAGGAATACAAATATTCAATGTAAGCAGATGCGGGGATTCGCGTTCCTGTAGCACTCCTCGTGTGACCTTGGATAGGACACTGGGCTCCCTCTAGCCTCATCTTTCACTGGAAAGTTGAGGAATAAATAGTGCTTCACATGTACCCTAGCCAAATTCCCTTCAACATTTAGTTGTTATTATTACTACTATTATTGGCTTTATCTAAATATTTTTGAGCTTTTAATTTCATGGATGATAAATATATAATACTTGTGTCAAAATTACTTGCTGTTTTAGGTTATTCTTAGCTTAGACATTGATTTCAAGGAAGAACCATCTTGTCTTTTCATAATATGCTCCTTAGTCTGCTCTGTAGAAATTTATTGAGGCAGGTTTTTTTTTTTAACTGATCACAATCAGTAGAGAATTCAGTTCTCCGTCCTCCTTTCCACTGGTAAATTGTAATGCAGCACTACTTCTGTCTTCAAAAGGGGTTTATGTTACTTGTTTGGTAATATTTTATTTGTTGCATTTATCCTTTTAAAGAGAAGTTATGTGGTAAATAAAAGACAGCAATTGCATAAAGATTAGGTAAACTGCTTTCCAGCTGGATAATCTTAACTGCCCCCTACACACAAAACACTGAGTTTTGTCAGAGCTTTATACCTTCAGTCCAGATCTCTTGTTTCCATTCCACAGAGAACATAGAGCTTGTATTTGTGATGCTGTTATGTCTTTTCATGAAAATGTAGCTTAATACTTCGTGTTTAAAAGAAGATTTAGTTTTAAAAAGTTACAGACTCTATCGTGGTAAGTTAATTTAGATAATTTAAAAGAAATCTAATTAATATTATGCAATTCAAGGAAACTAGAAAGATTACCAAAAAATTTACTAACATATATTGGAGGGAGTCTGTATCTTTAGAAGTGATCTTACCATTAAATTTTGTTGTTGTTTGAAACAGGGTCTCATGTAGTTCAGACTGTCCTTGAACTGACTATATACCCTGGGCTGGTCTTGAACTCCCAGCAGTCCTCCTGAGTGCTGGGATTAAAGACTTGCACCACTATGCCTGACCTTGCCATTAATTATTGCCTTAAAATAATGAAAATTAACATGTAAATTGTCTCCAAAATTCCTGCTTTAGCTAAGGTGATCAGTTTTCAACTTTTTTTTTAAACTTCTCAAAAAATGTTCCTTACAGTTAGTGTAACAGGTTATGAATAGCCCTCTGTTCTCGTGGGTCCCTCTACTACTCTGACTCCTAGCTATTTCTCACCCCTTTTTGTTTTCTCCACTCTTTCTCTATTTTTTCCTTTTCCTTCCCCAATCCTGGAGGTTGAATCCAGCATCTCACACATGCTGGGCAAACTCTCTGTCACTGAGCTCCATCCTAGGCCCTCTACCTTCTTTTATACCTGAATTGAGTATAATTAGATACTTGGTTGAATTTCCTCTGGTAACACTCAGCAAATAGCTTTCTTTGAAGATACCTTCAGGGAGTTAAACTATCCCTTGTAACTGAACAGCCCAGGGTAAGTATCATTCAAACCAAGTATTAAAATCTTAAAATTTTTTTAAACTTGAAATTATTTTTAATCATGGGGTCCTATTTACTTCGATTGGAGAATTTTCCTAAGAATTAGAGAAGTTAATCAGTTAATTCAGTACTTGAGAACACTCTTTTAAAATGATGAAAACATTAATTTCTATCTAAATTTTACCCCTTCCCCATTTCTTCCACTCTTTAGCCTATATGTGCTAGAAAAATGGGAGGAGGAAAGGCCCCACCAGAAGTCCTAGATAAGTAAAGCGGACATGCATACAGAACGTCATTCGTAACCGTTCTCCCCATTGCTCCCTAACTGGAACAAAAACCTCATTTCTTCTTTGAAAAGAAGGGTAGTGTTTACAGGAACTCACGACTTAAAGTGATACTTCCTATAAAATCAGTGTTTTGATATTTGAATTATAGTATCCAAGGGTCTTGTGTTTTGTTGTAGAATTTCAGAGTGAAAATTTTAAAGTGTTTAGAAATAATGTAGTAAATTCTTTATTTTGAAGATGAAACAACTGGAAATCAAAGATTAACCCAAACCCCACAGGTAGCTAAAACTTGTTATTCCAATGCAGGTGTGTTTCCATGCTTTCCTCTAACAGAGTGATGAAATGGAAAAAAGGAAAATGGGTCAGTGCAGTGTATAGGATAAGAAAACATTAGGAAAAGGAGAGAGTAATCTTAAAAATCCTCTGAACTCCCGGTGACCTCCATGGTCTGAATATGACTCTGTGACTGGAAAATCACAACTGTCATATGGATTGTTAATTGAAATACGCAGACATCTTTTCTATAACTGAATTCCGTTTTCCTATACTGAGTCAGGTAGTGTTTCTTTTTTACCAGTCTTTTTATATAATGTATTGATTGTTTATATTTAAAATATCATAGCACATGAATGGTGGTAAAAAGAAACATTACTTGCTACCTATCCTAAGCAGTTTTTAAAAGAAATCTAATTAATTTTATGAAATACAGGGGATAACAGACTCCTTGGAGAAGCTGTGACTCTTTTCCCCCAGAAAAATGCACATGCACACAAGCTTGTCCTTAAAGGCCCAGGCTGGTCTGGTGAAGACCCTTGTGTAACAGGGCAGCTGTGATTGTGAGTCACTTTTCCACTGCCAAGGTATGGCTGGAAATAAGCAGAAGCTCATTAATTAACTGCTATAAAATTCTGAGTGAAACAGCTAGTAATTTTTAATTTTTGTCTTTATTTATAACGGCTGTTACTGAACTAGAGTATTTGAAGGAAGAGATCTTATACATTTTAAATCTCAGAAATGTTATGGTTTCTAACTGGTAGATGTTTAGATTTGCTAAGGAAGATAAGCATCCTGTTGCCTGAGGATAACATTAGACCTGAAGAGGTCTGTCTGTGTTTTAATCTGAGTAATTACCAAGATGGCTTGAGGTATATCCTTTGTATCTTTCACCTTCCTCACAAGCACATAACATCATTTTTTTTTTTTTTTGCCCCAGTAAATGGAGTTCCTTGGCCTCAAGAGGCAACACGCCGAAATAGCCATACTTTTAACTGCAGAATGCTAATTCACCCTCCAGATGAGCCAGGTACCGAGAACCAAGAAGCTTGTCAGCGATATGAAGTAATGCAGTGTTTCACTGTGTCACAGCCAAAATCAATTCAAGAAGACGGAGAAGGTAAGGCACAAGATTATAAAGTATTTGTTTTTTCCTATAATTTGAAAGAACAGGGAAAGAATGAATTATAACCTGCCTTCTTTGTATAGTATTTTTGGTTACTGTATTGTGTATCACAGAAGCGATTCAATTTGTGATATTTTTTTACTATTAAAGAAAAACTCCAATTACTAACATCTAAAAACCCTCTTTGAAATGCCCCCAAATTCACAGCTTTAAGCTGGCATTCCCACTAAAATGTCAAATAATTCAAATCAACTTGTCTAGAAATGAGAAATATAACTAACTGCTGTCAGTTGGAAATCTACCAGATGCAGCAGGCTGTTGAACAGCTCTGATTTTTAGAAAGTTTCAAGTTTAGAATGTAGGGAACATTGGAAGATAGAATTGACATTTTGCAGGCTATGCACAACAATTGGATTAACATGGACTTATATATGTGACGGTAGGTGACAACTTAGACTGAACTAAGTTTAGGGACACCACAAATCTGGAATTGGTGTAAGGACCAGGGAAGGTAGTACACAAGAAGTTGGTCAAATGCAAGCCCCATATATAGCAAATCTCCCCAGGAAATGAAGGTCACAATCAACCTTTCACAAAATATACATGCCATGTCTCACGTGATTAGCTGTGTGTTATTGTATGTAGCACTGTCAAAACAAAATTTAGGAATGGGACTTCAAAAACATTACATATCCTCCCAGCTATCCACAATGAATATGCTCATTATGTACCAAAAAATGTACTAATAAAAAAATTATATACCCTAAAAACAAAGTCCTGTGTCAAGAACAGAATAGCTGGACATGGTGGTGCACACCTGTAATCCCAGCATTTGGGAGGCAGAGGCAGGAGGATCACTGAGTTCGAGACCAGCCTGGGCTACATAGTGAACTCAAGACCAGCTTGAACTACACAGTGAGACACTGTCTCTAAAAAAGAAAAGAGCAGAATAATACTTCAGAAAAAAAAACTGCTTTTCTCAATTAATTATAGCTGATAATTATTTCCATAGTAATTATCAGAGTAATCTTTGTAGCCATTAAGTGCTGATGAATATAGGAAATTGCCTACAAAAGTGCATTTTTAAAAAACGCCATGTTAGGTTTTGGGAGTGTAGAATATTCTACTGTTAGCATACACAAGACCCTGTTTTAATCAACGATTGTTTTAAAATGGTATTGCTTAAGTCTAACCAAAACTACTGTTTCCAGTTTTTTCATCTCAGTATATTCAGTATCCTGTAGTTCATGTAAGAACACTCAGTGAGAAGGAATTCTTTATTCTAACTTGCTCTCAACTGACAGCTACAGGTTTTGGTTGACAGCAATTTTATTTTTAATAACAATTATATCATAGTGATTCCAACATTATGTTAAGCCCTGTCATATGTATGGCTTTTATAAAAGCCATTAATAGCAAGTAATAGATGCAAACCATTTACTCTCTTTCCTTCAATTTTCTTTGTTTTGGGCAGATTTCCAGTCATGTTTGATTTGTATTGCACGAAGATTACCTCGGCCTCCAGCAATTACAGGTGTAGAATCCTTTATGACCAAGCAAGATACCACAGGTACTCACTGTATGATTCAGAGTGTTTTTTTAGGTATTGGTGAGGTGGCTGTCATAAAATTCATTATGTCCACAATGTTACATCTTTCTGTTCTGTGATATTCAGCCTCTGTTCCCTAGTCTTATGCAGGGAACATTTTAAATAGTGGTCTTGATATGGTGCATTTTAGGATCTGTAATTATTATTGTCATAGACAAGGTTCTGGGAAGAGTAATTTTTATATCCTCACATACCTATATTTTTATTATAAATTATTTTTATAATCATGTAAGAAAATGCTTGAAGAAATTTGGCATATACAGACATAAATACGTGACGTGCATATATATACATTTACAAATGGATATAAATACTATGTTTAAATATTATGCTTAAATATGTTTGTCTATTTTTTCCTTCATTCTTTTTCTTTAAATTTAAATTTTATTTTCTTTAAATTTATTTATTCAGCACATACTCTTTGAGTCCTTAGGAGTAACTGTGACTGTGTAATTGCTCAGGATGTGTATGATTGACCAAAACTCAATAATGTAATTACGTATTGGGATATTTTTTATAATAGAAAAGGGGTGATATGGTGTAAGTCAGAATCTGTTTTAAAATTAGCTGACCTGAAGACCTGAGGCTCAAGTTGGTATGGAGCCCTTGGGCTCCAAAGGTGCGAAATGGTGCCAGCTATCCAATATATGGTAACAGAAGAGGGCAGCAAGGAGGAAGGGTCCTGGTGCAGTGAGTGCTTTTGCCTGAGGAAACAGCTGCAAGAGCCCTCAGTAAGACAGGTGTATGGGAGAACTGCAAGAAGCACAGTAGGGCCACAAAGAGAGGAATGATGGAGTGCTTGAAAAGCAGGCCTTCTTTTCAAAGACCTACTTCACAATTGATTTTCAGCACGAATAGACTGCTATTGTTCTTTCAATGTCCAAAGTATTTTTCCTAGGTTGTTTGATTTTATCTTCATACTAACACATCATGCTTTTACGTCCATCAGTTATACCTCTATCACTTCTTTCATTTAAAAATAGAGATAGATACTAGAGATAAATTTTTTGAGATTTAAAAGTCACTTCTACTGAACTTTATTCCTTGTTAAAATTGTTTTAATGTTTATTTTACTTTTACTGTTCTTTATAAGGTCCCTTTTTGTTTTTAATGAATTTTTTAGTCTCAGAAATCTTAATATACTTGTACATTTTGTCTTTTTTTGTTTTTAATGATAAACTCCGAACTCTTTCTCCTAAAGAGCAAAGGGGATAAATTAGCACAGATAATAGGAAACAGTAAAGATAATGTCTAGGAGTGAAGAGAAACAGTACCTGACAGTAGCTGTAATCCTTTATCACACTTTTTTTTCATTCCCTTTTTGAGACTATCATGTATCCTGTTCCTTTCCATATTCTACCAGTGAACAATACTGGAAAAACTTAATGAACCCTGGGTGAAAAACAAAAGTATTATGTATGGAGGAAAAATAGGGCTCATTGAAAAAAGAATACTATTCTTTTGTGTCAGTAACTGGTTAATATAAAACAAAACCAAATAACAGCATTGTGAGATAGAATGAACCTGCTGGAAGGGTGATTGAAAGGCTTCAGAATAAATGTCAGAAATGAGAAAGACCTAAAAGTAGGATGATTTAGGAGCAATATGTTTCAGCTTTTCCTCATATTATATTTCTATAAATTAAATCCTAAACTGTATAATTTGAAAGAAGAACATATTTTTCCATAGGAACAATGTTAGCAGTGGTACTTCTTTATGCTGCTAAGGACCCATCATTAAAAATCCATCTGTGCCTGACAATATGTATAAATATATAAAAATAGCCATGATCATTTAAAATTTTTAAAATTAATCTGTGGGCCATAAAATAACTGTAGATCTCAGAAATCACAGAATCCACCTTCTTTTATGAATGCATAAATACCAAATGATTGCTGAGAATGGAAATCTTTACCCCTAATATAGAACCCTGTACATTTTATTGCCTTTCACTAAAACATATTAAAAGCATATTAAACAGAATAATACAATGTATTAAAAGAATACTGTACCACACACACTTATACAAAGATAGCAGAGAAATATAAAGTATACTTAAAATTTAAAACTAACATTATATCATGGACTTGACTTAGCTAAAAAGAATGAGCTACCATACATATTAAGCATTTAATTTCTTAAATTTAGTAGTACTTTTAACTTTACTATGTGGAGTTAGTAGATCACTGACCATGGGATGGACCATGTCTCATTAAAAAAGAAAAAAGTCTCCTACCAGGAAATACTGAACAGTGATTTAGATTGGTTTGGTTTAGTTTGTTTTGGTTTGGTTTCTGTTTGATTGGTTGGTTGGTTGGTTACAGTTTCTTCAAGCAAGCAGAGGTACGTATTCTAAATCAAACTATTCATGATTCTCTTCTAAGGGAGTCATTGCATTACCCAGTCATTCAGGACTGTTGCTGACAGTTTAATCACTTTCTCCCTTGTAGTCTCACAATTCCAGACTCTTGTGAACCAACACTGACACAAACACACACACAAAACATGCATGCACACACACACTCCTATGCCTCCTTTAGTATTTTTCTATAAGAAATATTACTGTATTGAAGATTATGGACTGGTAGAATTGTGTGATAGCAAAATATTTATCTATAAAGTAATAAGAGAAAAGATTAAATAATTTAAAACCCCAAATTGTCTGTACTTTCAGTCACACTGTTCACTGGGCTTTCTCCAAAGTGTTCTTAAGCACATGTTTAAATTTCTTAAGCACATGTTTAAATTGATTTTCTTTCTAACATCTGCATTTATGCCAAGACTTGAGTAGTACCCTGGTCAAGTTGGATTAAAGACCCTAATTTAAAAGATACAATGAATATTTTATTATTAGGCAAACCAAATGGAATATATAAAGAAGGAATTAGTTGAATGAGTAGGAACACATAATGTGATCAGTTTGAGTTGATTGTATGAGAAAAGGAAAGGTGGGTATACGATACAATCAGGCATTTTACAGAAGAGAAAACATTAATAGTAAATAAATGTGAAAAATATTTAGGGGCTGGAGATACAGCTCAGTGGGTACAGTGCCTGCCTGGCAAGTGTAAGGTCCTGAGTTTGACTCCCTGTACCAAAAAATATATCACTATTCAGCCTTATTAGTAACTGAGGAAATCTAAATTTAGTCACAATGAGATGCCATTTTTCACCTATTAATTTTAAAAAACTAAGCCAAGCATTGTGGCAGTCTGGGAGGCTGAAGCAGGAGTATACAAGTCTGAGCCTAACCTAGGTAACTTATCAAGCATCTGTCTTCAGAGTAAAACTTGGGCTGGGATATATCTCAGTGCAGAGGAACTGAGATTCCTGGATTATTATTAACATTATTATTATTATTATTATTACTACTATAATCCAACAATTATTAACTGGATTCAATACACAGTACTGGGGGGTGGAAAAAAGAAGCCTGATGATACCAAGTGATTGAAGGATGTTAGATTGCCAGTAACCCTTTTTATGATGCTGAGGATTGAACCAAAGGCCTTGGGCATGCTAAGCATGTGCTGTACCACTGAGCTACAAACTCAGTCCCAATAACTCTTGGGTATTACTGGTAGGAATATAGGGTGATACAAGTTTCTGCAAAACAGTTCACAAGTTACAAAGCTGAACATTTGCATAACCTGCAACCCAGCAGTTCTATCCCTGCATATATACACTAGATAAATTCTCACACACATTGGCCGTGAAAGATGTGAGAGATGTGCATAGCAGCTTTGGCTTTATGGCAAAAAAAAAAAAAAGAAAGAAAGAAAGAAAGAAAAGAAAACCACCCAGGAACAATCTAGATGCCTAACTGCAGGAATATGTAAAGACAGCGGGAAATGTGACGCAGGAAGAGTGTACACACAGTAGATTGAGGTTGGTAATATCAAGTGCTGAAGCTGGGTAGGAGGTTGGCTGGCTTTCCTTCTATTATATAATTCTAAATTTATATATAAGATTGCATAAAACGGGTCTGAAGAATGACAAAATAGATTAGTTGCCTCCTGATTAACTGAGGAATAATTTTCCAAAGTTTTCTCTTTGCAGCTTAGGAAGTTTGACCAACCATGGTAACAATAGATCACCACTAGATCATAAAGTATATATGTTCTGTGTGCCTAGCAAATCTTTTTTTTTTTTTTTTTTTTTTTTTTTTTTTTTTTTTTTGAGATAGGGTCTCATTACATAGTGCAAGCTAGCCTTACACTTGTTTATGTAGCCCAGGCTGAACTTAAACTCAGAGCAATCCTCCTGCCTTTCTCTCCCAAGTGCTGGGATTACAGGTGTGCACCACCACACCTGGCCCTAGCACATCTTAGTGTTTTACTTACCTTTTCCTGATTTAAGTTTGTATTGCCTTCAGTCTTTGTCTACTTGTGCATACAGTGTTGCCTAGAGCTCAACAAAAGATAGAAAGGGAAAGACATACTTCCTTTCTCATATTCTCTTTACTCAGTTATTGGAAAATTATTTAAACGAAAGCAACATACGTATTTCATCACTGCCCCTCTTTCCATAACAAGTGATCCAGTCAATTATTAGTAGATAAAGAGCAGAAGCAAGAGTAAGCCAGGGAAATTTATACTGCATTAGTCTCAGCAGCTTCAGGTCTTTATAGTATGGCTTTAATACTTAACTGGAACTGAATTTTAGACTATGACATACTAGGGCAAGGGATATAGTTCAGTGACATAAGCACTTGCCTGGCAAGCCTGAGGTCATGAGTTCAATTCCCGGTACCCCCCCCAAAAAAAAGACTATGACATACTAGTGAACCATATGTAATAATAAAAATTAATAGTGCTTTCCAATGTTTTTATCTATTAAACATATGAAGAGAAATAATATTTCTTAGATACAACTGTTTTGAAATATGGATGATTTATGTCAAGAGGATATCATAAATGTAAACTTTCATTCTTTGTGTAGGTAAAATCATCTCTATCGATACCAGTTCCCTGAGAGCTGCTGGCAGAACTGGCTGGGAAGATTTAGTGAGGAAGTGCATTTATGCTTTTTTCCAGCCTCAGGGTAGAGAACCATCTTATGCTAGACAACTGTTTCAAGAAGGTAAAGTTTTCTCTCAATTATTTTCATTAATTTTGCTCTTTATTAATATTGAATAGTTTGTGTAGAGCTTATGGCTTGATAAGTATTTTCTCCAAATTATGGTTTTTATAATAATCAGTTTTAGGAAAGGAAGAAATGGGTAAGCAAAGTAACTCATCAGTGGATCCTGAAATTTGGATGCACATTCTAAAGAACAGGATGTCATGTGGTGATCATTCACTCATTCATTCATTCATTCATTCGGCAGACATGTATCAAGTTCCTAACATGCATAGGAACTATGTATATAATGTGCCAGAGATACAGTGGTGACTAAGAAGCAGAGTTTTGCCTTCAAGAAGTTCATATTATGTTAAGGGAAGAAAGCTCTAACAGGCAGTGTGACACAGGCTATAGTAGAGATATAACCAAAGAAGAAAAGTATTCCGACCTGGAGATTCAAGGATGACTCTAGAAATGAAGTGATGTGTTTGTCTGACTCTGAAGGATCATTCCTGGCAGAGTAAGCATGTCACAGGGCCTCTGGATAATGCAGAGGTCAGATTCATGCACATTAACTTCATGACTTTTGAAGCACCCCTGTCTCCTTACTCATGTTGATGTTACAAATCAAAAACTACATCTTTTGAGGTTATTAACTAATGAATAGCAGCTGTGTCTTAGCAAACTCTATGGGAATATACAGGTGTCTTCCCTGCCCTTAGCAATTAAACAGCATTTTAGGAAAAAGAGGGAACATTAGTTGCAAATTAAGGTTAGTTGAGAATTAAAGCCAGAACGTTTACAGTTCAGAATTAAGGGATTTTGATGTACTTTTAAAATATTGCTGTGTAACTAATATTCCCTTTCCAAGTAATTCCTTCTATAATCTTTAGATAGCCTCTTTCTATGGCTGTTCCTGTAAAACAATTAAGGATTTGTTTCATTTCTATTCTCCTTATTAACTTTAACATTTTCCCCATAACTTGTTTCCTCAGTGTATAGATGATTTTTAGCTCATTATGTTTTACATCCACTGACTCTGTACAGAACAAGGAGAAAGTACCTTGTCTTTTCTTCAGGAGGCTGTCTATATAAAACTCAGTCTCGGTCACTTCTGGGACAGCTTCTCACAGAAGAATGATTCTCCAGTGGCTTCCTTATAAAACTCATGCTTCCCCTCAAGCTGGTATCTCACTGGGGAGAGTCAAGAGACTGTATGTTTTTGAACTTAACCCAGACAACCCTGAACTGCAGCAAAGTTTGGAAACCATTAGAATAAATACTTAAGGCTACCCACCAGGTGCAAACTTTGTGACCTCCTCTATCCAGAGTGACACGTGTTTGCATATTATAGGGACTCAGTATCCACTCAATGCCTAAAGTACTGATATATGTAGTTCTCTTTGTAAGTTGGCTTTCCATGGATTTACAGTACTTTTAAAAACTTTTTTTTTTTTTTTTTTGGCTGTAATTTATATTCATTTCCACCAAGGCAAAACAGGCCCAGGTAATTGTTTCATCATCCCAGTGAATAGGTTCCCTATAGATGTGACTGAGCCAGTTTAAGGTATGTGTTTTGAAACCATTAGAATTCTCTATAAAAACAGATTAATTAAACTATAATATGTAATCTTATATTAGCATGAAATGAAACAATTTAGAAAAAAATCTAAAGAAATATAAACATAACCCAATACCTCTTACCTATTATGTTCTCTCATTTCACTTTTTTTTTTTTTTTTTTTTTTTTTTGTATTTTGAAGCAAGGTCTTGTTGTGTAGTCCACATGAGCCTTGAACTCACTATGCAGCCCAGGCTGGCCTCGAACTTGAGGCACTCCTCCTGCCTCAGCCTCCTAAGTGCTAGGTTTACAGGCATGTGCCACCACACCTGGCTCATTTCACTTTTTTGGGTTTTTTTGGGGTGGGGGGCTTGGTACCAGAAATCAAACTCAGGACCTTGCACTTATCAAGTAGGTGCTATGCCGCTGAGCTATATCCCCGGCCCTCATTCCAATTTTTAAACAAAGAATTCCTTTAAAGAAATGACATATTGAATCCAAGCATGGTGGCACACACTTGTAATCCCAGCAGTCAAGAGGCTGAGGCAGTAGAATTACCATGGGTTCATGCCAGGCTGGGCTACATAGTGAGCTCAAGACCACCCTAAACTATATAGTAAGACCCTTCTGAAAGAAAGGAAGAAGGAAAGGAAGGAAGGAAGGAAAGAAGGAAGGAAGGAAATTACTGTACTTACATTTTTTCTTAGAATTAAGATTACCAGAGTTCACATGACTCTTGTTTCTAGTGTTTTGGCCATTCTGGACAGTTTTCCAGGCAGTCTCCATGGATGTAGTGCATCTTTTTCTGTTTTTTGTTTTGTTTTGTTTTGTTTTGTTTTCTGGTACCGGGAATCAAACTCATGACCTCGTGCTTGCCAGGCAGGCACTGTGCCGCTGAGCTAAATCCCCAGCCCCTTTTTTTCTGGTATTTTTATATTCAGCAGTATAAAGCATGGTAAGAGCAATGTGGTCTGTGAAACATACGAGAATCTCTTGTTTAAAATACTGACCTGCTGAATTAAAATTTGAGGAGAAGATTCAGATATTTTAACAAGCCTAAAGGTGATGTTTAAGTTTAAGCACCATTGTTCTGTCAAGAATGAAGAGAGGTGTAATTTACATTTGCGGTTTCCTGGCCTCCTTCTGTAGGCACATTGTGAAGTGAGTGGGATACATTACTGTTAGAAGGGTTGTTATCCAAAAGACGGAGAGAACAAGTACTGATCAGAAAGTGCAGGAAGGGGAACCCTTGCACATTACTGGGAAGAATGTAAATTAGTATAACCACTACAGAAACCAGAATGGAGAGTCCTCAAAATATTAGAAGTAAAACTACTATATGATCCAACAACCCCACTTCTGGGTGTGTAACCAAAGGAAATGAAATTGTTGTGTTGAAGAGACCTCACTCATGTTCTTTGTAACACTACTCATAGTAGCCAAGATCTAGAATATAAATGTTCACTGATGGGTGAATGAAAATAAGGAACATGGGATATATATGCACAAGGAATAGTATTTAGCCACAAAAAGGAAACTGTCATTTGTAACAGCATGGATGAGCCCAGAGGTCATTATGTTAAATGAAACAAGCCAGGACTGGGCATAGTGGCACATGCATGTAATCCCAACACTAGGGAGGTTGAGGCAGGAGGATAGCCACAAATTCAAGGCCTGGACTACATAGTGAGTTCAAGGCCAGCCTGAGTTACATAGCGAGATCCTGTCTCAAAAAAAAAAAAAAAAACCAGGCACAGAAAGATAAATACTACATGATCTCACTTGTATAGAATCTATAGTAGTCAGTCTTACAGAAATAGAAACTAGAATGGTAGCTGCCAGAAGTTGGGGTGGTTGGTCAGGGCAAAAAGGCTAGGGGGGATGACATTGATTGGAGTACTGCAGTTAGTTAGGAATAAGTTCAAGAAATGTGTTGTACAGAATAGTGACTATAGTTGATGACAATATGTTGTATGCTTGAGGAATGCTGGGGGTGTCGGTGTTAAGTGTTCTTACCACAAAAATGATAAGTACATGAGGTGTTGCATGTCTTGATTAGCTAAATTTAACTACCCACAATATATATATACTTCAAGGACCATATTGGACAGGATGCATAGATGCAATTTTGTCTGTCAATTTAAATAAATAAATTTTGGGGAGGGATAGTGAGATAAACTATACTATATCCTTGATTTTAGTAAAGCTTTACAGTTATGGATACTTAGGCAAGAAAAAATTGTCTTCCATCTCTCCTTTTTTTTTTTTTCTGATCATTAACTTTCTCTTTGAAGGCAGTAGCTGATAATAAAATCCTAATAAGAACTAAGAACTTTAATTCTTCACTTAGTTTTTCAGCTGCTTTTGGCAGAGACAGATCATGAAGTACTTTACTGTGTTATCTTCCAAGTCAGATTTGCAAATGCACTTTAGTCATGTTGGAGCACTCACGTGGACTAGATTAAAACCCTGATTCTGCATTGAAGCTAGGAGAAATGGGTATCAGGACCACTTGAGGAGCTGTTTAAATGAGGATAAGTTCCATGCAAGTGGAGGTAGTTTGGTAAAATTCCTAGATTCTGTCATTTCAGAACCATTACTTTAAAGGAAAGTCTGGGTTAGGATGTTTCCCAAGATCACTGATAAGACAGATTGATGTGTGCAGTAAACCAGAGATCTTGACCCCACCCAGTGCTACTAAATCAGTGTGTAGTCTAAGATATTTTTAAGAGAGAAGTTTAGAAAACATAAACCTAGGTTCCATAAAATAATGATAGCTATAACTAGGAATTAAAGCTTCATGCTTAACTTAGGGAAATGTGTCAGTCTCCCACTTTTGGGAATTCAGAAGACATGTTTAAGGTATTTCAGCTTCCAGGAAGTTCTGCAATAAAGATATCTTTCAAACCTTGTTACTCAAACTTATTTTTCTTCAGAATACTGTCCTGTAGCACATCTACTAGCAGTTAAGGAGAATACTAGTCGTAGGAAATGAGGAGCTATATAGCCCATAAACTAGTTTTATGGGTTTTATTTACCTACTTACAGTGATATAATGGACTATCATTCTTGTCTTTAAAATGTCTGTGGTGTATTGTTGTATGAAAACAACAATTTTATGTTTAAATAGGTGGAATAAGAAAGCACAGCATATATAGTATAATCTCACTCTTGTGTGTCTATTTATCCAATTCTAGAAGACTAACAAAATGTCAAAGTGATTATATCTGAGTGGTAGGATTATAGATGACTATTCTTTGTTCATCTGTCTTTACCTTCACTTTATAATCACAAAATAAAAATATTTTCATTTTTAAAAAAGTCACAAGTAAAGTTGGAAAGTATGTATAGTTCCAAGAAATGTACAAGCAGTGCTATAAAACATAATTACCAATATTAATGATTACCAGAATGTTGTTTGAGGCTTGTGTGATGTAGTTAATTCCATGGCCCACAT